GTCCTGCTCGATTGGCTGCTTCTTGAAACACGTGGAAGGCGCCTTGTGCATTGACTGACATGATTGAGTCGAATATAGCTTGAGGGGTGGAGGACATGGACTGGTATTTGCGATCGAAGATGGCAGCGGAGTGCACGACAATGTGTGGGGGGGATTTGAAGGTTTTTTCGGTGAGATCGAAGACTGAGCGGACAGCGATAGGATCGGAAACATCAGCGCGGATGGTGATGGCGCGGATAATGGAGACTGAGGAAGAAGAATTGATTTCTGCAGCGAGGCGCTCGGCTTCAACGGATCTGGAATAGAAGACTAGGGTGATGGAGGCGCCTAGGGAGACCAGTTGGAGGGCGGTGGCGCGGCCAATGCCGCGGGTGGCGCCGGCGACGATCGCGGCACGGCCCTGACAGGGGCGCGACATGGCCTTTTTTTTGTGACTTTATACCAACACACGCATAATGCTTCTTTTTTGTTCGAGCAAGTATTTATTGACGTACACGCGGGTTTAACTGAATGCCTTTTTTTATTTATTTCATTCTAATAAATAATAGTCTTTAAAATCTAATTTAGATTTCCTAATAATAGATAATAATTTGTGGTAGTACATATTCCAAATCTAACCATTCAACTATAAGAAAAAGAATTTGTAAAATTAATATACATAATTTAATTCAATATTTTAAATATGAAAAATCTTAATTAATCTTAATTGAATAATGATAATTTAAAGCACATTTACATACATACACACCCAATTCATATGTATTTACACATCTAACAACTAAATTTTACTTTCTACATGCATACCATCCAAATCTTTACGTTTCATGTATAGATAAAAAGGCATGTATATAAAAATTGAGGTTTAAATATTAGATATATATATAAAAACATAGAAATTAAGTGGTAGGTATGTAAATCTTCCAAATTTAGGCTCTCCTTCCCTGTTTAGCGAAGCTCCTTTAAAAGATACTTTCCTCGAATGGATAGCTACGACTTAAATTAATAGTCTGTTTGGTGAACGGACCCCGCACGTTCAGACGGTCAACCACTGATGACCACGTTGTCATACACGTCATCTGCGAGTGATGTGACCTTCGGTGGCTGACCGTCCAGATGTGCAGACGTGTCGTCGGGTCGGAATATTTTTTTTTCCCTATTAGCTCTACTCTAGATTTTAACCGGATATTCAAACCCAGCTGAGTTCAATTGAGATCTAATTCAGGGAAAAAATTTGCGTGCGATAGACGTACTCAGCGCTGCGTACGATATTGAGGTTATACCGAGAATACGATGGGATTATATTCGTGGTATAACCCCTTGTAACATTTTATAACTTACTTGTAACATACTAATAAATTCTTAATATATGATAAAAGAAGCGCGAAACTTATTTTAGGTTACAGGTAAGTTACAGAACGTTACAGGGAGGTTACAAGGGGTTATACCGCATATGTAATCCCCTTGTACTCTCGGTATAACCCCAATATCATACGCAGTGCTACATACGCCTATCGCACGCTAATTTTTTCCCTACTTCAGGTGGTCGGATAGAGTTCAAGAAATAGTGTGGACCAAAACAAAATTAATTTGGATATTAATTTGGCCTTAAACGGAGCCGACATGAACTGGACCACTAAGATTTGGTGACGTTAGATGATGTGCCTTATTTTGCTTACTATATGATTTTTCAAATCCAAAACAAAAATAGTAAGTAGAAGAAATATGTGTTCTTGGATACAGGGTTGATTCGAATTTTGGCTCAGATTTATCTTGGATTGAAATCAACGAGCAGAGCTACTAGCAAAATTTTTGGATCGAATTTTTTTCGAGCCGAACCCAGCTCAGCTCGAAATTAGATCATTAAGAGTCCTAGTCAAGTTAGGGCTGTGAATTTAGCAAATTTCGCTCGAAGATTGTTAATTGCTTGAAAATTGATTCGAATTTTAGCTCTGATTGAGATCGGTTAAAAATAAATAAGTCAAGCTACAAGTCAAAATTTTAGATCAAATTTTTTTCAAACCAAACACCAGATCAGCTCGAAGTCGCCTTCAAGTAGGGCTGTCAAAGAGCTATGGAAATTATATTAAATGGATTTAAATCAGCTTGAATCAAAATCTAATGATTTATGAGTCGGATCGAATTATAAACGAGCTGACTCGAACATTATTTTTGGCTCGTGAGTTTGATCTATTCGGCTCGAAAATCTGTTTGATCCGGCTCGAAAACCTGATCTGCTCGAGTGAGCCCGAAAAATATAATGAGTTGGCTCGAAAACTTCATTTGAATAAAAATTATTTATTAATATAAAAAAACAAAAAATAGATTTTTTTTTCTTCCCATTTGAAGATGTCATCGAATTACAAATTTAAAATAAAACGAAACAAATATTTCTTTCAATTTTCACATACTAAACAAGATGATAAACATAATACAATATTCTTAGGTAGGGGTGTCAAAGGTCGGCCTGATACGCATACACAACTCGAACTCGATTCGAAAAACTTTGGATTAGGGTTGACACGAATATTTTTCGAGCTGGGTTCAGGTTAAAGAATTCGACTTGTTTATTATTCGGCTTGATTCGGGTTGAACTCAAACATGACCCGAATTAACACGAATATTATTATTATTATATATATATATATATATACAAAATAATTATTATTATATATATATATATATATATATTATTATATATAGATATATGTTACTACAGATGATAACTAAATGAAGCATAAATTAATTGAAAGTACTAATTTTTGTGTTAATATAGATGGACTAATCTCTACTAAATTATGAAATAGTTATAATAAAGATGTAATTTTAATTTTTATTATGGATTGAATGATTGAATGTTTCATAGAATTGTATCTATTTAATTCAGAAAGGCATATTTTCTATATAAATATTTTTTGTGTTAATATTTACTAACTAGAAATCATGGTCAATATTTTTGTTTTCCACTATTTTATCTTAATAAATAAGTCCATAGTCTAAGGGTCTGTTGAGGCAGCTGCAACTTATTAAAAAACAACTGTAAAGCTGCTAAAAATAATCTGATATTCAAAAAGTTACGGTGGATATTATAATTTTTTTTTAATTCAGACCGCAGCTACATTGCTACCATCGCACATAGTCCGGACCAGTGTGAAAATACAGATTTTAGAAAGCTGTCAAGATACAGTTTACTCAAACAGAAAATACTGTTGCCATAGCACAATCACCCCAAATGGACCCTAAATTTCAACTTGATAATCAAATCAAATTGAGTCAAATTTGCTAATTCATTTTATGTTCAATTGTGATATGTAAGTAATTGCCCAAAAAAAAAAAGAGGTGGAACAAAACATTGTTATTAGAGACATCATTATAAGCTTAAATTGAAATGGCCAAAATTACACGCTTAAAGAGAAATGGGAAATGGAAGTTTTATATGTTCCCTGACTGAGTTAGGAAGGACATAATGCCATTATAGGTGATGGTCTTGTTTGATTGATGGAAAGTTTGCATAAAAGGGAAGTGTTGCCAAATAGTGACCCAACCATCTTTATTCATTCACATTCACCAATGTAAATTCATTATTGTTCATATACTAATCCAAAAAAGCTATCATTTAATATAGGTGGAAAGATAAGTCTTGAGAGAAAATGGCATTCTATTAGAATTAAAAGGTAAAATTTGTTGGCCAATTGTACTTCAAATGAGTGTATTATGTTTTAAAAGAATTGAAAATAAATGTATGGCATAATGAAAGGGATGAATTGATTTTTTTTTTTTTTTGCACCGCTTAATGGGATTAATGTTTTCTGTGGTTGTTGTTGTAGAACATAATTTTGATGGGTAAAAGTTTTTCTTTTTAACATGATTGAAAATAAAATAATAGCCTATTTAAATCTAAACTAGATTATTTGTGGTAATGGGTTCAAGATTTAACTACTTCTAATAATAATAAATTTACAAAAATATCATACTATTTTTTTATGTCCAACTTACTACCACGTGTTGAATGATAAAACTAGAACCACGAGCAATGAAGGCAATCTTCATTTGCTTCAGTCATGGAGTCAAGGGCTTCAAGTTATATAAACAGTCAGAAAGGAAGGTAGTCATTAGCAAGGATGTTACATTCGATGACAAAAACTTATTAAAAAATTAGGACTCAGAACAAATGGAGAACAAATGGAGAGTTCTACTGAGACCATAGATGTGCAGCAGAAGTTGAAGTTTGACGCAACTCTGTTAGTTCCATGGAGTTCATCCTCTTCGATTCAGATATGAGATTCAGTTGTAGCTCAGGAGGTATCTGTCAATAATGCTCAGGAGGAGGTGAAAGAAAATGTTGGGGATGAGATTCCTACTAAAGAATCTATTGCTAAGAACGGGACCAGACGTCATAATGTCCTAAACCCATCTTGGTTGAGAGATCACATTGCATTTGCACTTTTAGCCACATAGGCAGAAATTTCTTATCACTACAAAGAAGTAGTGGAGAGCTTGGACATAGATTTTTAGATAGCGGCAATGGATGAAGAGATGAAGTCTTTTTATAAGAATGGTACAAGGACGTTGGTGAAGCTTCCTCCAGAGAGGAAATTCATTGAGTGCAAAAAGGTGTATGCAAAGAGGGAAGGATCTCATGGAGCTGATGTGTGGTACAAGGCAAGAATAGTGTCAAAAGGCTTTGTGCAACGAGAATGGATTGATTAGGACGATGTGTTCTCCCCAATGGTCAAGCATCCTATAATATATGTTCTCTTAGAACTTGTAGCACTTTACGGTCTGATCTTGGAGTAGCTTGATGTGAAGACTGCATTCCTACACAGAGAATTGCAAAGGAGATCTACTTGTTGCAGCCATCTAGATATGGAGCATCAAAAGATTTGGTTTATAAACTGGACAAGTCCTTGTATGGGTTGAAGTAGTACCCACGACAGTAGTATAAATAATTTGATCAGTTCATGTGGGCATAGAAGTGCACGATGAACTAATATGATCATTGTGCATATTTCAAGAAGTTGGCCAACACTGAGTTCATTTATTTGCTTCTATATGTTGATGATATGTTGATTGCATCTGCTAGACATGTTGAGATTAATAGGATGAAGGATCAACTATACAAACATTTTGAAATGAAGGAGTTGGGTGAAGCTCGCAAAATTCTTGGCATAAAGATTCTCAAGAACAAGGTAGCCCGAAAGGTATTGATTTCGCAATGAGCTTATGTTCGGAGGGAGCTGAGGAAGTCAATGATTGATGACTCGAGCAAGACGTTGAGTATACCAATTGCATCTCACTTTCGGTTAAATTCAGATCGATGTCCTAATGATGATTAGGAAATGAAAGATATGTGATCGATTTCTTATGCTAGTACAGTGGGCAGCCTTACTTATGTCATGGTTTGTACTGGACTAAATATTG